ATTGGAGCCTGTGGCGTTTAACCCTTTAGTGACATATATGAAAGAAAAAAAAAACAGAAGTGAAATTGGGGGTCTTTGCAATCCCCCGTGAGCTGGTGCTTATAACAGCATCCATCCTAGGGCTTCTCTCTCACCTGGCTTCAGATGAACCTCTTGTCCCCTATCTCCAAGCCTCGGTGAGCTAGTAATCTCTTTTATTTAACTCAAGAAAGAAATTAACCTGCATGATGTATGTGTGTGTGTGTGTGTGTGTGTCCAGGAGGGGGAATGGGGGCACCTTGTTTGGATTGAAATAAGATTTGCCTCCTTCCTCCTCCGTTTTCGCATTTCCCTGCTTTTCCAGATCCTCTAAGAGGTTTGCACTTGGGTTTAGTGTTTGGAGTGCTTCCGAGAAAGAGTGTAATGAAAGAGGAGGGCTGGAGCCCTAGCTTTCTGCAGCCTGCAGATGTAGCCCTGAGAGCAAGGCTGGAGTGGCCAGGCAGGGCTGAACGCTCTGGAGCTGAGGCTACTGTGATCTCTGCAGCTACACCAGCATCTGGCTGGCTAAATTTTACTATAGCTGACTGTCTTTTGCCTTTAACTGGATTTTCCAAGCATTAGCAGGACTCTTTACAGAACTTATTAATATATGTGTGATTTAGGTTGGGAGAAACTCACTGCAACACTTACACCTTTTTCAAGTCCAGAAACTCTCTGACATTAGGAAATGGGAAATTGTGATGGAAAAAAAAAAAAAGATAGATCACTGCCGCAGCACCCTTCCTACCACATCAGGAAACTCTCTCATGGGCTAGTCATGCACATGTACAAGCAAACCATCTTAGGCACACCTAAACTTTAGATGTCAATATGCTGCTAGTTGCAATTAGAATTTGAGATTCCCCATCGAGTCATTAATGGGTGAGGGATGGGGGAAGAATACCTGTACACCTAATTTGAAATACGACAAATGAATTTTTCTCACACACAATGCTTCAGTTGTGGATGGTAGCCCTCTCCATCGGCTGCCCCCTTTTGCCATCTCTTCCCAGATCATATCCCTCACTAGTGCCCCTTCTTTTGATAACTGACACTGACTCACCTATAATTTTCTAGAACCTGCATTTTTCTTTGTTCCCTACACCACCTCCCAGCAATAAATAGTATCACAAAATACAGTCTCACCCAGCCCACTCCAAAGACAAGAGTCTCTGATGACCTCTGCATTGCCCAGATCCTTGCTGTAGCATTGCGACCTAAACCCATCCCCTTGGAGATATGTTACACTGCTTGACAGCTACTAAGCCTAATGAAGGGATCACCTCTAACCTCTAGGGAAGGAGAAGCACAGGGATCCCTCTCTGAGGACCCATCTTCTCCACCCTTTGTACTTTTTCCTCTCATTTCTTACCTCACACTCAACCAAACATGCCATCTTTAACCCTAAGAGTTCAGAAAAAGAATGTACAGGTGCCAGATCTGACTAGTCAGTAAGCCCGGGCTTGGAACTCAATTCTCAGCCTCTCTCATCATGATGAAATCCATGTCCTTAATGAGGGCCAACATCCCACATTTAAATCTTCCTTTTCATTAAGTCTTAGCATATAATTATAAGGGCTGAAGACTGAGCAGTCATGTAGTAAGATGGCCTCTGTAGTTAGATGCCAATGGGGTAGGGTTTGACCTAGACAGTGTGTTGTCAAGCAGGACATCAGCAGGTGATAACTTTGAGCGATTGCTTTATGTATGTTCACTGAAACTCCCATCTATTATTCTATGCTTAATTGTGAGTCCAAAATTGTATGATGTTAACTTTTGTGTCAAGTTCACTTTGAAGTAATTTATGCACGGCTTTTGCTTCACTAAGGTGGGTTGCTGAAATATATTGCCTAAATTATATTATGATTAGGTTGGAGGGGGTTTAACATAGTATTTCTCAGTACATCACAAGCTGATTTATAGACTTATGTCACAGTAAGGAGTGTTGTTTGTTTGATTTGGCCTCTCTTCAGCCCAGCATTGAAATACAATGCTTTACATTTGGGTGAGGTGGCCGGAATGGTTGATTAGTGCCTAATTTGGCAAAGCACCTTTACTGTGACTACTGTATACCTTCCTCTCCCTCTGTAACCTGTTGTTTCCATTTCTAACAGAAAAGTTTGCTTAAAGTTTGTGTATTTTCCTCAAAACCTAACCTACTGCTGAAGCCATAGTAAAGATTCAAGAAATGTGTGTTAAGTGGCTGACTCATTGCAAGTTACTGGTTAGGGTGCCTTTTTTTCTGTGTTGATTTTTAGCAGTATGTGATATTTCAGATGATTGATGATCTCCTAAGAAGCTCTTTTCTAATTCAACACTGATGATTAAAAAAAAAGGTCCAGAGTTTCTTCACTGGAGCATATTTAGAGTGGTTACCACCTCCAAAGAGGTTTGGATGTCTCCACAGAGAAAAGGGGCTGGATATCCTTGGGAAAACGAGGTCCCCAACCTGGTACTGTTGGGAATCTTATATAAGTTACCTGATTGGGCTGAATGAAGGTTTGATCAGTACAGTGGGCTCATACTGTTGAGTATGCAATGTTCTACCTCCCCCTACACCCACATTAATCCTGATTTCACCCCAAATAACACCCGTCCAAGTCAGCATGGGGATCCTCTGATCTCAGCCATGCCAGGAGTTCTGGAAATTCAAAGAGAAAACCTTAGAAATGTACCAAAATTAAAGCTCTTCTTTCTCTTTCTCTCTTTTTTTTTGTCTGCATTAATTGAATGGGAGAGAGGCTCTGCAGTGCTAAAGTAAAAGCCTTTTTCTTCTTGACCAGTAGTTTCAAAGGTCCTCTTTTTTTAGAGCAATGCGGGAAGAAATTGGTGTCACTCTTGAGATGTAGCAGCTGCCAATCTCTCTCATTCTTCCCTCCTTGGCAATGTGCAAAGCCAAAAAAACAAACTTTGTAACAGTCTGCTAAATAAAATAAGGAGAAGAAATAAAGAGCAGCTTTTATGGAGAAGGTAGAGGATTCAAGCAATTGATTTAGATGGAATTAAAATGCATTTCAATTACCTTTTATTTACTCTGGTCTCTGAGGATTTAATTGATACAGTATTGGAAAGTTTAAAAGTTAACACCTTGCATTTGTATGATGCATTTTGATTTTTTAAAAGTACTTTCAAATACATTATCTCACTTGAGTCTCACCACAAATATGTGAGGCAAGTAAGTCTGGACTTTGTCACATATGGGCCAACAACCTTTTACAGAGGAGAAGACATAAATTCAGTGAGATTAAGTGCCATATTTTAGGTCACAGAGATAATTAGTAGTAAAATAGATATTTAGGCCTTGTATTATTCAACTTCTAGCTGAGGGAGACCAGAGCACAGTTCTGAGTAGGGATTCTGAGACAGGGGCATTGTAAATCCTTTCTGCAATAGAGTGGAAAGCTACCCTATTGCCCTGTTCCTTCTCAAGCCTGTAAGACCTCCCCCTCCTCCCAAACAATAGTTAATGATGTGTAACCAAGCTCAGTATAGGAGATTGCTGTTTATAGGAACCTCTGTAAATATGTATGTAATATAATAATCCATTGAATGTATTCATTTTATTGTTTCTGTATTTTTATTTTCTTTAAGGAAAGCACTTCATAGTTAAGATGCACTTACAGTCAGTCTGAAGTATATATAACCCTGTTAGGAGCCATAGGGAAGGAGGAGAGGGGATAAAAATATGTGACATGATCTTTCCCACAACAATCATTAAAACTTGGTGGGTGAGATAAGTCAAATATAGGTGAAAAATCAATCCAAGCACAGATGCCAGATTATGGTCATGATATCACATTTAGTACTTTACTAGAAAGCTGAAAAAGTAGGGGTAAAGTGTGATTGAATAGAAAGAAAAATGCAACAGAAGTCAGAAATCTGGCTACAGATTAGAATTTCATCACTAAACCTATTGCATAATCTTATAGAAATCATTTAGCACATATCTTTTGATCTTAAGTTTTCTCATCTGAAAAAAATGGAGTGGGGGGTAAAATTGAACTTGACTAGCTAGCTCTAAAGTCTGTTCTAGTACAAAATATCAGTGATACTCTGAGTGAATGCGGATGGCTTCTTAGAAGGGAGCATATCTTGAAATGGGTCTTGAGTACTGCAGTTAACATGGATAAGCAACAAGGGGAAAGGCATCACAGGCAAGGAGAAGGAGCGCATAGAAACCTGTGGTGAGAATGAGCTGAGCTGGTTAAAGTGGAAGATTGATGAGAAGAAATTAGATCAAAGTAGGTGATAGGGAGAGGGACAAATACTTTTTTTTTACAAATACTTTATTTCCATTTTTTTCATCTGGGAAGGGAGGAGGGTGTGAAGGGAAAGCAGGGGTAAGGGGAAAAATGAGAACCAAGACCTGTCCTGTAAATGTACAAGATCCCAATAATGAATGTAACAGTACTGTATACCTAAAATGTGCCAATAAACTCAATGAGAAAAAAAAGATTTAGTTATTTTTAAAGGTAAATTGAGATCCAATGAAAGTTGTTTGAGTATAGAAGTGATGTAGTAAAACCAACCAATGAGAAAAATGATCCGTAACAGTGTACTTGGTTCCAAAAGCATCTACAAATCTACTTTGTTCTACTGACCAGATATCCAGTTAATTTGGGGTC